GATTGCAGGTAGACTTCTCCCTCTGCTCAAAAGCATCTGTACACAAAACTCTATCTGAGAGTTTAATTTCCAAGAGAACCTGCAACAGCATCAATAACTCAAAGTAGCAGAGATTTTTAAACAAAAGTATTTCTTTAAAAGTGGAAAAACTGGCCAGGTACAGTGACTCATGCCTGTAATCCCAACAGTTTGAGAGGCCAAGGCAGGAGGATCGCTTGAGCCCAGGAGTTCAAGACCAGCCTGGGCAACGTGGCGACACCTTGTCTCTACAAAAAATACAAAAAACATTAGCCTAGCATGATGGTACACACCTGTAGTCCCAGCTACTTGGGAGCCTAAAACAAGAGGATCACCTGAGCCTTGGAGGTCAAGGCTGCAGTAAGCCATGACTGCAGCACTGCATTCCAGCCCGGGAGATAGATAGAGTGAGATCCTGTCTCAGAAAAGAAATGGAAAAACTTTCAGCCCTGCTTTAATCCTGGAACTTTTTGATATTGCTTGCCTTAAATACAAATTGTATTTTGGTTTTAGAATGGGGTCTAAGCATACAAATTCTAGCTAGAAAATCTCAGAAGTTGTTTGCTTAGTGTTAATGCATGAATAATGTCATTTCTTCCTGGGGAAAAAAGAGCTGATTGTGACTATGTCTATTATATGAATTATATAAATCAGTGATATTTGTTACTATTAATATTATTTTAAAAGTAATGATTGTTGACTTGATTCTTAGGGGCTACTAGCATCACACAGTCCAAAGATATTTTATAACCACAGATCTCCCAAATCCCAGTCAGGAATTGACAAAGGAACGTGAGTAATAATAAGGGAGGAGAGGCAAAAATATGTCAATGGCTACTACATTTTAATCAATGTACAGGTTAATTTTTCAGATATAACAAAATTAAACAACTACTGGGTCATTTTATTAACTAAATACCATTAACTGAAATATTCATGATCTTATTGGGAGGAAATTTATCTTCTATAAACTCTCTCATTTGTTCCCATTACCTTATTGCCATCCTCAACCTACTAGAATCCCTATATCTAATGTCTCCTCTTAACCCTAAATTTCAGAAGAGTATCTTCTCCTATTTGATGTTAAGCACTCAATTGGCATTCCATATTGGCTCCCTTCCTGTCTCTTCTCAGATCTTCCTATCTTTCGTAGACTAGAAAGAGATAAGTATGGTTCTCAGAGCCCATATCCAAATATCTCTAGTGCTTATTCTATTCTTTTTGTCTCTATATTTATTCTGTTCATGGAATGGATCATCTACTTCACGAATGATTCACAAACACTAGAATTTTCTCTACAGTCATCCCTCAGTGTCTTTGGGAGATTAGTTCTAGGACCCCCAGAGATAGCAAAATTCAAGGAAGCTCGAGTCCCTAATGTAAAATGATGTGGTGTTTGCATATAACCTATGCACAATGTCTCATATACTTTCAATCATCTCTAGATTGCTTATAATACCTAATACAATGTAAACGGTATATAAACAGCTCTTACACTGAATTATTCAGGAAATGACAAGAACAAATCTGTACATGTTCAGTACTAATGAAATCATCTACTTTTTCTCCTTATATTTTCAATCTGAAATTGGTTGAATCCAGGGATGCAATACAGAGGGCTGACTGTATTTCCAAGTATCTGTAGGAATTTTCATCCTACTTGTCCTCGCATCCTATACTGAACTTAACATCTTCCTCCACAAGGAAGCTCCCTTCTCAGTCACATATATATCTCAGTGGCATCACAGAACTTTTACAAATGAGAACCCTAGCGTAGCTCTTGACTCATGTTTCAAAATAAATATTTAATCTAGTGCCACTACCACTCAATGGAACACTGTTACCACATCCAAAAATGCTACTTGATTATATAATTTTGCCGTTCACCAAAAAGCAAGTGGTTCCTCATTGTCTACTGACCAATACCCAGGTTTTTTTACTTAGCTATTAAGGACCCCAAAAATCCAGCCCTATTTCCTGTTGTCATTTAACACATAATTGCTGTTCCTGCAAGCTACAGTTCTTTCTCTCTCTGAAGCACCTTGCATTTATACATGCTACATGTCCTATCTTTCCAGTTCCTTTCTCTACCTTTCCTGTTTATCCAAACCTGACATTCAAAGCCTACCTCAAGACCCATCCCCATAAAGCCTTCAACAACTCCAACCCACTGTAATATCTCCCTCCTTTAGATTTGTACTAGTTTCATACACAAGTTCAAGATTTACTGACTTTAAGTGTTCACCAACTGTTTTACCGTTCTCTTTCTAATTTAGATGGCTAATAACTTTTAGCCACTATTCTACACACACACACATATACCCATTAATAAGGACTTTTAATTTATTTATTAATTGCTTAAACATGAACACTTAGAGAAAAACACACCTATAAATTATTATAATATGTAAATTCACAAATATCACAAACTAGAAAAGGAAGATAGAGCTAAAATTATTAATAAGGACAAACCCTTCTTTTGCACAATTGTTTTTAATTTTTTTCCATTGTTTGCAAATCTACCAAAGCTACTTTAGAGCCCTGTCTTGATTTTTATCTCCTCTTCTTGTTACTGCCTGTCCTCTAGTGGAAGATAACAATAAATGAATAAAAATTAGCCCAAAGAAGGAAAGAAGTAGAGGGTTCCTTTTTAGTTACTCATAATCACCAAACAGTAACTTTTACAAAAGATAGAATAATTTTAAATGGAACAGAAAAATACAATTTGAACATAGACACACAAAATCTAGAAGACGATAGGGCTAAAAGAAGGAGGCAGAAGTGGCACAGGATATGAGGAGTGCCAGGAAAGGGGACCAGGTAGAAGCTTGGGAATATTGCTCTGACAGGCACGATTTAGGTTGCTTTTATTTTTCCCCTCAGGTTTTTCCGGATAAATCTTGTCTACTAACTACCATGCTGCTTGAAGTTACAAGCAAATAAGTAAACAAAAAGAAAATAGGGAAGCCAAATGAATACTGTACTATGTTTTACATTTAATTCATTAGCTCCCTTGCTCCTTTATTAATTTATCTTGTACAAAGCGAGTTCTGTTTGGCAGTATTAATAACGGAGCAGTTTTAGCAATAAAGGCATAAAGTCATTTCCCCAAGTGATATGCTTCATGGTAAACCTATCACAATGAATCACTGCATGTAAACTAATATGCTTTTTTATATCTTGATTTTAAACATTTAATAACTTGATAGTAACATAAGCATAGACTTCATAGATCTGATATATGCAGTGTTTCCTAGTTGTGTTCAGAAATAGTTTTAAAATGTAAACCTTGCAGCCTTTAAAATTGAAAATTATAAATTATGTTTTAATGTTTTTTTTTTTCCTTTTCCCAAAAGTAACAGTACAATTTGACATAAACAGCTCCTTGCCTATCTGGCTTTCCCAGCCAAGCTGGGTCCTGCACAAGTTTCTATAAGAGTTTTCTACAACAAGATCTCAACTACTGAAGATTCAAATGACTTGACTTTTTTTTAGGTAAATAACAGTCTATTAAGACTAAAACTAAGTATTGTCTTGACTTTTTTCACTGGTGCCCTTCAGCGAAAGGCACAGTGGTTAAATAATGAGGAAAACTGCCTACTCAAATGTTTAGTGGTGCTTACTGATGTATGTATATCATTACTGATTGTGATTCTGCCATATTCTAGTCATATCTAACCTTGGGAAAATCATCTCACCTCTCTACGCCTCCATTTCTACCTTTGTAAAATGGAGAGGTGTCTTCCATGTCTACTTCACTGGGTTGCTGTGCAGATCAAAGGAGAAAAAGTATGTGAAAATTCTTGATAGGAACGTACAGTCATAGAGTAGTTATTTTGCATGGTGCTTGCTCGTAAGATTAACATGTTGAGAGCAGATTTTTTGCTGGAAGACAAGCAGCATTTTAAAGTCATTCAGAAATGAGGAAAAAAATACCTTTTCTTCTTTCAATTATCAAATTATAACATTTAAAACCAACTACACTCTTCCCTTGCAGCTGCTCCATCTACTAAAAGTGAAACCTGAAAACTCCCTCCCACACCAACTCCTACCAACCTTCTACAGTGAAACCAGGACACCCCCACGTTCTGTATAACTTCTGTAGGAACCTAGATGTTGAGGAGTGTGTTCTCTAACACATAGTGTCTCTTACAGCCCACACATCTTGAAGATAAATACAGACATACATCACAGATGTGCCACTGTAACTGTTATATTTTTTGAAGCGCCTTATCATTGAAAGTGACAGAGAGCAATAAACTGTCCTAATCTATGCTACTGGCAATGTGGACCTAAATGAGTTAGGGTTCTTATTTAAAATAAAAAAAAAAATTCTTAAGAGAGAAGAGGCTGGGTGCAGTGGCTCATGCCTGTAATCCCAGTGCTTTGAGAGTCTGAGGTGGGAGAATCACTTGAATCTAGGAGCTGACGATCAGCTTGGACAACATAGCAAGACTCCATCTCTATCAAAAAATTTTAAAATTAGCCAAGCATAACGGCACACATCAGTAGTCCTAGACACTCTTGAGGCTGAGTGGGCGGACTGCTTGAGCCCTGGAGTTACAGGCTGCAGTGAGTTATGATGCACTACTGCACTCCAGCCTGGGCAGCAGAGCAAGACCCTGTCTAAGAAAAGGGGATGGGGGCGAGAATAAGATAAAGAGAACCTAAGTGACTTTGATTGCTGCTGGTGTGTATTTGATGTATCCTACCTCGTTGGAAAAACAGGAGGAAATAAGGAAGTGGGCAGTAAGACAAATTATAGAGATGTGTGTATTACAGTTGGATACAAAGTAAAATAAGTAAGACACGTGAAAAAATGATGGTAAAGTAAATTAGATACAGGAGTAACCCGCATTTAGCAACCCTCTATATCTATTATTGCAATTGATTTGCATTTCCCCAGAAGAAAGACAAAAAAAAACTCAGGAAGAGCTGAAACCAGGTTTCTCAACATTCTCCCAAAGAGAATTCGAACTTACCAGTCACTAAGAAGACAGTCAAAATCAACAGTAGCCCTAGGTTAGCAGTTCTCCAAGGACAGAGCATTTCTGTTTTCTCTCTTTCTGCCCTTCACTCAGTAATTTTCCTCCACACAGGTACAGAAAGAGCTGTGAGCATGGTGAGACCCTTTCTGGTCAACTTCTCCGTACAGAATCCTCTTAGCCCATCAAACAGCGCGGCACTCCCTTCCTTCTAGCTCCCTCCTTCACGTCTATGTGGTTTAGCCTGATTAGTAACTTGGAAGAACAGAGGCTTTTCTCTGGAACTTGACACAGCAATAGATTTCCTGTATGAAGCCCTGAAGCAAAGACGGAGGAAGCAGATTGATTGAGTTCTCTCTCAGCTCATTGGTTCTCTTCTCACTTCTGCTGTACACAGATAAACTTTACAGCAAGGCATTGAACATGTCCAAAATAAACAGATTTGTCTAAACTTACACTAAAAAGTAAAACAGAATATTTATTTATTTTGGCCCATCCTTGTAAATTTTCCAATCATGATAACTTTTAGAGGTTTCCCCCGGTTGAAGAGCATTATGGCCTTAGTATTCAAGTCTAGATTATAATAGTTTTCCTTGAAAATTCTCGTATGAAATTACTGTCTATAATGGAAGTCAACGCACAACTCTGTAAGCATCATAAGTGTATTAGTTTCCTATTGCTACTGTAATAAATTACCGCAAACTCACTGGCTCAAGACAATATAACATTTATCATTCAGTTCCGAAGATCAGAAGTCTGAAATGGATCTTAGGAGACTAAAATCAAGGTGCTGGCAGGGCTGCACTCCAGCTGGAGGCTCGGGCAGAGTTTGTTCTCTGCCTTTTCCAGCAACTAGAGAATGCCTGCATTTCTTGGCTTGTAGCAACATCGTTCCGACCTCTGGTCCACGGTTACATCTCCCTCTCTGACTGTGACCCTTCTACTTCCCTTTTAAAAGACCTTGTGATTATTTTTGGTCCACCCAAATAATCTAACATGATCTCCTAATCCCAAGATCTTTAATTGAAACACACCTGCAAAGTCCTTTTTGCCACCCAAGGTAACATATTCACGGGTTTCAGTAATTAGGATGAAGGTATCTTGTTAGGGGTGAGTGAGGGCATTCTATTTATCAGAATTCAACACTTATTGCCAGTCACTTTCACCTTTGAAGAGTTAGGCTGATCATTTTAACCAAATTAGAAATAATTACCCATCTTTTAGTTGCTACACATCCGGAATTCAGACTCTCCTCCTCAAAAAAAAAAAAAAAAACCCTCTTCCTTAAGGTGGCTAGTTCCTATGCTTTTAAGTTATGTTTGAGAGTTGGGGAAATCCTCTATGTGCTAAGAATTTTCTACACCAAGGCAAAACTGTACAGGAAGGGGAAGAAAACATTGCAAACAGGAAAAAGATTAAACAGCCTGCATTTTTTTCTGTTAGCAGTTTTATCTTCCTTCTTGCCAAACATTATAAATATTCCCCCTTTCCCCTTCTGAAGCTTTTTTTTCAAGTTAATTAATTTGATGAAGACAGTGAAATCAAGTCCTTGAGGGCATGGGACACGACAGTATGAGCTATGACAATGGGGAGACCATAATAAAAACATCTTTGCTTCTGTCTAATGTTTCACCAGGTGTCCGGAAATTAGTGAGAGTACATCATTTAAAATATGGGTAACATTCTGGTTTTCTACCACATAGAAGTTAAAGTTGGCTGGGAGCAGTCGTTCATGCCTGTAATCCTAGCACTTTGGGAGGCTGAGGCAGGCAGATTACCTGAGCTCAGGAGGTCGAGACCAGTCTGGGCAACATGACAAAACTCCAAACTCCATCTCTACTTAAAAAAAAAATGTGTGTGTGTATATATATATATATGGCCAAAAAAGAAATTAGCCAGGTATGATGGCACTCATCTGTAGTCCCAGCTACTCGGGAGGCTGAAGCATGAGAATCGCTTGAACCCAGGAGGCAGAGGTTGCATTGAGTAGAGAGAAATTAAAATTAAAATTCACACTGGTTTAGGATACAGATAGGCATTGGGTTAAGTCTCTGTTGCGCAATTACTAGTCCAGTGATACTGGGAAAGTTTCTTACTCAAGTCTGTATCTGTTTACATTATATTGATATGAGCTTTTTCTCATGTCATCAAAAATTCTTGGAGATCATTTATTTTAATGTCTGCTCAATGACACAGCCAAAGCTAAACCACAGGAGGGCTAAATGGCCTAAGGCCTCAAAGCAACTTGTTGGCACAGCTGGGAATAAAATGTGCTATATTTTCTAGCCCTGTGTTCTTTTCACTCAACTCCTCTGCTTTGAAATTTCATGCAACAACTTTCATAGACACACTCCCAAGCACTCACCTGAGGTCAGATCAAAATCTGCAATCAGCAGTTTAAGAATCAAGTGATGGGTATCAAAAGCCATAACATTTGCAAAATAGATTTGACAGGATGAAAGGTTCTCTCCCTGGTCCTTCATCCTCTCCACCCACAAATCCCATTCTTATAACCACTCAACTCCCACCTTCCACCCTTTATGGAGGGTGGATGTTTAAAACAATAAAGGCACTAAAAGTTTGTTAACATAATCATCCACCAAAGACATGCCACGAAAGTCAGTATAAGAGAAAGATGTGTGTGTCTGGTAATGCACTGCTCTAAAAACTCTAAAGGCCACAAATTCTCCCTGGTTGGGCCCCTTGGGCACAGGACCCAGGAAGCAAGGCAAAAGAGTGAAAAAGGATGAAGAAACAGCTGTCGTTTATGCCAGAAACCCAAACCTTTTACTCCACCAGTCTTCCAGGTCTCCTTCAATAATACCAGTTACAAATCAGAGCATACGAGAGGCAAACAGAACAATATAATGCCAATGAATGCTGTAGTAGCCAAAACAAAAAGACATAGAAGATAGAAGCTTTAGTAAGTTAGAACTATTTTAGGCCATAATTCCCCCAAACCAACACAGTTGGTTTACTCAATTTATCAATTGCTAAACTGAAAATTGATTTAGGTAGCTATAAATGCTGTTGAAGTAAACTTCTTCCAATCAGGGGTATTTCTTTCTCTCCAATGTCAGATTCAGACTTAGCCACAACTGAAATCATTTAAGATGAAATGGTGCAGTCTTGCCCTTTCATTCCTCCCAGTTATGTGGAAGCTTTGCATGGCTCTTGAATACTCATGGCAAAGACTTCGTGGACTTTTATTTCTGACTTCTTGTTCCCTGGACCCTTTGTTCCCCAGACCCTTTTTTCCCCAGTACCATTGCCTACCATTCACCTCCTGTATTGGAGTCTTAACTGCCTAGAACTTCAGCACCTGCCTGCCCCTCCTACCATAGCTGAATTTTCTGGATGTGTGTCCTTGCAAAATGGGACAATAACTACTTCCCTTTTCATTGTTACTTTTGGTGAACTCTCTGGCTTAGACATCTGACCTGACTTACCCTTCTCTACACATGCATCTGTGCCCCCTACACACACACACACACACACACACACACACTCTCACACAAATGTACTAGCTAAACACTTAGTCCTAATTCCCTCAATCTACCCTGTCCTGCTGCTAGCCAAGTACTAACATACCAGTTTCACAGAGGTATAAAGAACAGTACCTAATAGTCTAAAGAATTTCAAGGGACTCAAACTCTACAACACTCCACTCTTTTCTTTACTTCCTCTCTGCTCCCATGTACAATAACAAGAGATTTTAATCAATGAATTACCACGGAGATGCTATAATTCAACATAAAATTGCATAAAAAGACTTCTTTCCTGGCCATATTTCATTTTCTATTTTCCAGTTCACCTCTCTGTAACCTTCATTGACTCACGCTCTCAAGACGTGTCTGAAATCCTGTATCTTCCTCCCTGGGCAATCATTAAGTGGACTAAACGGTAACTTAAAAGAGCCTCACAAAATGCATATTTCTGTTTTTATACCTTCCATTATATTGATTTTTCTTGAAAATTTTTACTCTAATATATAGTTGATCTATGTCACATGCATGAAAATTCTTAAAAAGTTAGAAAAAACATGTTGCATTGCAATTAATGATTACTTTTTATTATAATTTTATAGATTATACAAAAAGGAAAATTGAGAAATAGTTATTTGAAAATTAAGTGTGGGTAGTATCAAAATAAAAAACCAAATCAGAATAGAGAAATTAGCAATCACATTTTATATTCAGCTAAATATCCACTGCAAATCTCACTGGTCATATCCATGGCAGATATTTATCAAGCCCTAAGCTCAACACCCGAGTCTCGTTCTAAGCAGTTTATAAATATTACCTAATTATCTCAGCAATCCTATATAGTAAATACCATTTGCCATTGAGGAAACTCAAAGCAGAGAGGTTATATAAAGTGTCAAAAGCCACACAGCTGAAAAATGATAGAAACAGGATTCAAGCCCAAGAAATCTCACTCCAAAGTCTACTTCTTAAACTATGAGGCTAATTAGTCTCTCCTTTACTACCTGCTTTTTTGAAGGTGGTAACGGTTTTGTCTCCAATACATCTCCAACATTTCTAACCCCTACTGAATCTATTTATCTATTCATTCACTCCTTCTTCCAATTAGACACCCTTACCATCTCATAATTGGTCTGTTTTCTTAAGTAAATAAGCAAACCCTGTGCTGTTCCTAATCATCTATTTGCATTAAGATTGCTCTCTGCTGCCACCTGGAGATAATTTGGTGAAACCAATGCTAAGATTTTTGTAAATGCATCTAGCAAATTCAAAAATAAGATTTTGATCACAAAGTATGCTAACATGCCTAAACATTATACATTTAATTTACATCATTTGGAAACTGCTGAAACATAACAAATGACTACCTGTTGGATAGTACTGATATTATACCTAGAAGAAATGTTGTTGAAAAATTAATCTTTTGAGTTGCCAGAATGGTTTAATAAAAACAGTGCTGCCAGGCATGCTGTTTCATGCCTGTAATCCCAACAGTTTAGGAAGCTGAGACAGGAGGATCACTTGAGCCCAGGAGTTTGAGATGAGCCTGGGCGACATAGTGAAAGCCCATCTCTATAAAATAAAATTTAAGAATTGTTTTAAAAACAGTAGTGTAAAGAAATGGATGGATGGATGGATGGAAGTCAAATTCCCTACCTGATTGCATGAAAATTTGGGAAGATTGCCATCATTGGGTACTGTGGAATGCAAACTCTAAGATGGAGTCTAATGTGAAACAGTGTTATTATATTAAGGAGTTACCTCAGATCATCAGTTGGGGATAAGAAGGAACAGAAACCGATGTGAATAGGGGAAATCAAACTGTAAGGTAGGCCCACACCAGTCTCAGCTAACCCTATGGGAAGCTTTAGAGCTAAAACTGCCCCTTAGAGTTGTCCTCTCTTGGCCTGAAATGGCCAGATCTTTACACTTCTGCATCTATCCTTGGGTAAGGCAATCCATGAAGAGGCCAGCCCCTGAACTGTGGAAAACACTATCAACAATGGAGCAACAAAGTCCTTCACTGAAGGGGGTTGATGGTACCCCACAGTGTCTGCCAATTGAATAAATGTTAGAAAATAATCTACTGTAATTCTAGTCTCAAATACAATGATATTCCACTCAGCCAATTGTCTTTCACTCCCAAGAAACCAAATTAATGGAAAATCTTGCCAAAAATATAACTTTGAAGGAGCTCTGCATTAAGATATTTCCTACCTGCAGCAGTCAGGTAATTTTCTTCTGTAAGTGTCAACTGAGAAGTCCAGAAGATATAGAAATAAATTTTTAAAATGAAAAGCCCAGTCATACACCTTGGCTAAAAACTAACATCAAGGCAAAGCATGCTGAAGAGAAACAAGTATCATCTGATCTCCAGAACACCCTGATACCAAAGTCAAGAAGAGCGGAACATTTTAAAAGGAAATATTTCAGACTGAGTCAAGTGGGTGTACCTTAAATGTCTCAGACAGTATTAATTAATAAATAAATTAGTTCTATATAACTTTCTAACAAAAGGATATGAAACATGAAAATCATATCAGTCAAAGAATCTTGTATTTGCCTGAAATTTTATTCAAATTTTATTGGGCTTTTCTCAAAGAAATGATGAATGTTCTGTTGATCCATCATGGTTTTATTATATCAGTGGCCTGAAAATTTTGTCCCCAAATTACATATTTTACCACACTGTCTATCTTTTATAAGATACTGTAATGTTTTCAGTGAATAACTGAAAAATAGTTTAAATTGGCTAAACTCTAAATAGTTAAATTTGCAGTTTAAGAATGTCACAATTTTTTATCTAGTTTTGGGAGTAGCTGTTACTATTATGGCCCCTAAGTTGAACTTCCTGGGTTCAAACTTCAGTTTCGCCTCTTAGTTTTTGGTTACTCTATTTTTTGTTTTGTGTTCTCAGATGCTATTTGATTCTTTTTTTCAAATCTGCTACCATTTTAATAATTTTAATTTTCCAACAAAACTTCTAGTCTTTTATCTCCTGGAATATAAAAATAATATTTTAAAGTCTCTGTCTGATCATTCCAATATTTGAAGTAGCTGTGGGTAAATGTCTATTGGTTCTTTCTGTGACATGTGGTCACCTCA